ATGTGCTTGGTGCATTCGCACTTATTATAAGTGCAGTATACCGCGAAAGGAAATTCAAATATATCGAAATCCAACATTTTTCGTTACAAATCCTCATTTTGTACTTCGAATTCGTGACCAGTGTTTTGTTTTGCTCTCTCCCATATGCTTCTGCCTTTTGTCACTTTTCACCGGAGCTTGCATTACACCTACAGTCAGGTCCATATTTGGACACAGGCACAATTTTTATTATTTTAGGCACTGGCCAAAACATATTCAAGTTACAGTTATATAATGAATATGGGCTTAAAGTGCACACTCTGAGCTTTAATTTGAGGATATTCTCATCAAAATTGGAGGAAAGGATAAGGAATTACAGCTCTTTAATATGTACCTCCCACCTTTTTCAAGGGACCATAAGTAATTAGACAATTGACTCAAAAGCTGTTTCATGGACAGGCATGGGCTATTCTTTCGCTATTCCTACATCAGTTAAGCTGATAAAAGGTCTGGAGTTGATTCTAAGTGCCCCATTTGCATTTGGAAGCTGTTGCTGTGAACCCGCATCATGCGGTCAAATGAGCTCTCCATACAAGTGAAACAGACAATTGTTAGGCTTCTGTGAAACATGGTGGAGCAGTGTGATGGCATGTGCATGCATGGCTTCCAGTGGCACTGGGTTACTGGTGTTTATTGATGATGTGACAGAAGACAGAAGCCGCCGGATGAATTCTGAAGTGTATAGGGATATACTCTCTGCCCAGATTCAGTCAAATGGAGCAAAGTTGATTGGGCTGCGCTTCATAGTACAAATAGATGTTGACCCAAAACATACAGCAAAAGCAACCCAGGAGTTTTTGAAGGTAAAATGTGGAATATTCTGCAAATGTGCGTATGCACAGATTTGATCTTAGCGTGTGCGTACGCTAAAATCCACGGCAACGTTCATATTTATAAAAACGGTCTTTGACGTGGAAAAGTAGCCTACTTACCGTCACGTCAGGGTCTGAGCAGGCGTACGCACTTTTCCATGTGGCAAAGTAGGAGTACTGCAGCTATTTGAACATCTAAGCTGCAATAATAATAAAAGCGGTGTATGTGCAGGCACTGAATTCATCATAAACAACAGAGATGCAGTGTACGAGATTAATGCAGTGTAGTCAAATTTTTTATTAACGGGACCGGAGACCATAATCGTGTAATAATTTATTTTATTATGATATGAAATGTCCAGTTTTTCTTTCAATAATGTTTTTTTTAAGTTTTGCAAGAATTTCGTGATAAACTTTTTATTAGTTGTCATAGCAAGTGATTTTAAAAGTAGGATGGCTCACTTTTTATAAGATGACTGAAAATATTACTTGAATTAGTAGTTTATTCTTACTTTTGGAAACATAATTGTTTTATACTACTACTACTACTATTATTATTATTATTATGTAATTTAAAGTGGTGCTTGTTCCCCCTTATTCCATGTAGTTACAGGGTAAGTGGCTCCAACAAATTGCTCTGAAACGATTGTTTATACAGTAGGTCATACATACATACATACATACATTATATATCCAGTAATATATAAAATAAACATGGTGGACTGTTTTATTTAATTCAAATATTGTTTGAAATTTACTATAGGCCTACTGCTGGGTTAAATTAACCCAAAATGGGGTTTTAAATTAAAATCACACACAATATGACAACAGTAACAACACAGGCAACAGATAATAAAAGATTACAATTTATTACACCAGTTCAGGAAAAAAGCAAAGCAACTTGTTCTTAAACAAGCTTTTAAAAAGAATTTGGTTTAACTGTATGAGCTGTATAAGTATGGAGTTGCTTTACTTTTTTACTGAACTGGTGTAATAAATTGTAATCTTTTATTATCTGTTGCCTTTGTTGGAGCCACTTACCCTGTAACTACATGGAACAAGGGAGGAACAAACACCACTTTAATTTACAGCCTGCAAATGTTGCATTTACCCTTTAACTACATGGAACAAGGAGGTAACAAGCACCACTTTAAATTACAGCCCGCAAATGTTGTATTTACACTGTAACTACATGGAACAAGGAGGTAACAAGCACCACTTTAAATTACAGCCCGCAAATGTTGTATTTACACTGTAACTACATGGAACAAGGAAGGAACAAGTTTGACTTAAACACAGAACAAGTGTATATTTGCACAGTAATAAAAAAACAGAAAAATATTGCACTAGTTTTAATTTAATTGTTTGATGGCTATAAAAACATCACGGTAGCCTATACATCCACGGAAATACAAATGTTGTATCATTTATTTTTTCTGCAAACAGCTGGAAAGAGGTAAGCTTGTTTTAAGCTGCACTGAACCTTGATGGTATATCATGCAAAGTTATTTGGTGATAGTGGTGTTGGGAAGTTGCTGGTGTGAAGTTGCTGAGATCGACGAATAAGCTTTCATAAGGTAAGTAGACTCGTGAGTCGGGAATTATAAATCATAGCAGAAACTCATTAACTCATTTCACTAGATGCCCAGTTTTATTGTTCAGTAATCTCCATCATGTATCCTTTAATAATAGGATATGTACCCCATGGTTAAAAAATACCTAGGCCTATAAAATACCAATATAAAATGATAAAAAGTATATCCTCTTTCTAAATCACTCCCAAACATAAGATTGTTGTTTAGGCCATATACATACCACGTAATATAGAATAGGTACCCCTTAGTTTCAAAATACTTACAGTATAAATTATTTGTAGTTTTACAGGTTGTTACCCCTTTATTCCCCAAATGTCGCATATTATTCCCCAATACCTACACGGAGGTACTGAATAGGTAATTACAAAAAAGTTATGCTGTAACTTCAGTTTACTTACGCAGTTCTTTGCAGGTTGCATATCTAGTTGTTATCCCCTTATTACCCAAACGTATTATACCTACACGTGCGTTCTTTATAGGTACACTATAATTACAGAAACGTACACCGTAAATTCAGTATACTTAGTTCTTTGCAGGTTGTAATCTAAAGCGTCACCTTTTATTTTTAATAAAAATCATTTCTGTTCTGCTGGCATACAGAGCTGAAATTATGAAAATTGTGTCAGTGTCTATGCATCCTACATCATCCGTTGGAATGCCACTCTTTCACCTGTCTCTACGGCGCATACCTGCTGGCTGCACTCTCCTCCCTAAGTGGACGAGGCTTTTATAATTGTTGTGCTCGCTCTTATATAATTCTGTGAAACGACAGGGGGCGACTCAGAGTAATTGTTCTCCAAACCATCAGAAAGCAGTGGTGAGAGGAAGTAGTTTGTCAAACAATCGATTTGAGAGAAGTTTGTGAAGGTTTTATTTTTTTGCAGTCAGAATAGGTCCAGATAGGTTTCAGCCTATAGGGATACCTGCACTGGATGGCCAATTTCACATGTATTTTGTGTACTTTCAAAATACAAAATACTGTATTTGTGTTTAAACACATTTTTCCACACAGTATTTTGTATTTGTATTTAATAACATTTTTCCACACAGTATTTTGTATTTTTATTTTAAATACATTTTACTGTCCTCAATTAAGCTTTGGATGTATGTCTTTATTTCCGAAATGTTCTCAGAAAGATACGATGGTGCTGACAGTGATGGCTGCCTCCGTGGCGTGCTCCGCAGTTGTTTTTATGTTTTTGTTAGTTTGTCCTGTCTTTAGTTATATCCCTGCAATCAGTTTCACCAGAGACAAAAAGTCTGCTTACAGACAGGAGGTCAAGCAGCTGGCTGTCTAGTGCAGTCTCAACAACCTGGCGCTCAACACGCTAAAAACTGTGGAGATGACCGTGGACTTCAGGAGAAACCTCCCTGCACTCCCCCCACTCACCATCATGGACAGCACTGTGACTGCAGTGGAGTCATTCAGGTTCCTGGGCACCACAATCTCTCAGGACCTGAAGTGGGACACTCACATTGACTCCATTGTG